AAAACAGACAAAGTTATTTTATTGCAGTGATTAATTCTACCTACCCTATATGTAGAAAATGTTACATTTACATCACATCATGGATCACATATTGATCAGATGCTGCTGCTGACTGATCCATGATGTGATGTAAATGTAACATTTTCTACATATAGGTAAAATTGATCACTGCAATAAAATAACTTTGTCTGTTTTTGTCACTTTTACGGTGGATTGCATCAACTCTGTTACATTACAGAATGGAAACTTCACCAAAGTGAAACRTAAATCTGTRGATCTGTGTTTGATTACTCTGGCTGGCTTTCTCAAGGACCAGGATGTGTGCCAGTGTGTGAAAGTGAAAGTAGTCAAACTGAATTTTTAATAGACCAAAATACAGTTTCAAAGCAAATTAATTCCGATTCAAAACTTTAAATTCAGTTTCAAATCATTAAATTTAGTTTCAGTTTAGTGAAATTTATTTTCAAACCAATGCATTGAATTTCAAATTATGCACATTCAGATTTAATCTGAGCAATTCATATTCAGTTCCTGCTGGCACAAGTTTTATCCCATACGAAACAGACAAACAAATGCAGGTGGTGACTGCAGATGTTTGTTGCAGCAAAAATGTTACACCTGTGTGAACCTAAAGTAACAGTTAAACTTAAAAGACACACTTTTTGTAACTGCAGAATGAAGAACAAGTTGTGGTATTTTGAATTTGCCACTTCAGAAACCATATCTGCTTCCTGCAAGAAACTGAACGAAAGCATAACAATAGAGGTGAGCAAACAGCACCGCCAAGCACCAGAACTGTAAATGTGCCTTTTTGTCCTTGAACATGAAGCAACAAAAAAAAAACTTCTCCTGATGACAGTTTGCTGATTTTACTTATTTATTTTTCGTTTTCTCTCGTCTCTTTTTGTGTATTTTTTTCCAGTGCTGTGGCACTTCTTTGGACCTCAGTGGCCTCTCTATGGAAGGAGTTGCTGTGCTCAACATTCCCAGCATGCATGGCGGCTCCAACCTTTGGGGTGAAACCAAAAGAGTGGATACTAAGGGTCAGGACGAGCCTGAGGTTATCGTCAACCCAGAGGTCCTGAAAATTACTTCTCAAGGTGCGTTTTCACTGACCTCAACTTTAAATGGTGAAGTTAAACCTTATTGCGTTGTGATGTGTGTGTAATGTGGAAGTTCCTCCTAGCTCTGCAGAGCCCATTAGCTGATTGTTTTTTTAGCAAAGTCTAAATCCAGATTTCCTGTTGCAGCTGTTCTCAGTTAAAAAGGTCATAAACTCAGAGTACAGCGCAGTGTTGTCTAAATCACACTGTGGCCGACCTGTTCTCTGTTGGCTGCATGTGAAAACACAAACATCTACCCACACACACATCAGAGCTGACCTTACCCTCATCATGACTTCAGCCCAGAAAATCCTAAAATAATATGTGAAAACATCACTTTTCCACCAAAACAAATTACAGTAAGTGAGCCTCTGATGTCTGATGCTGCCCCATCATGTGTTACCCTAAGTATTGTTATAAACCAGTGTTTCTCAAGCTTGAACACTGCTAAAACTGTCACACACCTAACCCTGGCTGAAGGGTGTGGTTTCTAATGGGATGATTTCATTGGTGAGCACAGCACCACAAACACTGTGGTTTTGTCTCTTCCACTGCCCCAAACCAAATGCATATTAATTTCAGATCAYTTTAATCGAATGACCTCGCTGAGTTGCATCATTTGTTGCTAGCAGGTCTGCAGAGAGTTTCCTGACGCGGCATAAATAGCCTCTATGCAGGTGGTGACTGGATATTTTGAGAACGGTGTTTTCACTGTKCTTTTCTTTCAAGTAGTTTCCATTTAGAGCTAAATTTATAATTTTCTTGAAATATTTCTCCTTTTGGTTGTTTTTGTTTTATTAGCTTTACATCACAGTTCAGCTTACGATAGTTCACTTGTTCATTAACTTGTAAATAGTTGATACCACCATTTATCCCGAGCATCACAAGAGGGATCCTGAGTACGATCAGAATAAACGTTTGAGAACCATGACCATCAATCATTATTTAGCTTTTTTAAATTGCTACAGACTAAACACTGAAATCTCAGCAGAGTWTTTTCAGTTGTGAGATTACAACCCCAATTCCAATGAAGGTGGGACATTGTGTGAAACATAAATAACAGAATATGATGATTTGCAAATTCTTTTCAACTTATGTTCATTAAATACACTACGAAGACAAGATATTTAATGTTCAAACTGATGAACCGATTCAACCACTCAACCACTAGATGTCGCTGAAAACAACAAATCCTACACACTGTGCCTTTAAGCTTTTCACCTGTGGGAACGATACAAACATTTTATTTTATTTTAGCATTACTCAACTTTCCTAATCTTGTGTTGCCTCTGTCCCAGCTTTTTTGGAATGTGTTGCAGGCATCAAATTCAAAATGAGTGAATATATATATAAAAAAAACACAAAATTTATGAGTTTGAACTTTATTTTGTTTTCTTATTGTATTTAATTGAATTTAAGTTGAAAAGGTTTTGCAAATCATCGCATTCTGTTTTTTATTTGTTTTACACAACGCCCCAACTTCATTGGAATTGGGGTTGTAATTTTATGCAGAGAATAAAAGTAAATTAACATAAACATCCACAAAAATAAACTAAAAACATTTTAAACATTTTTAAAACAACTATACAGCGAATCGAATGAGATATGGAAACATTRTGACGCTGTTACATAAAATCTTGTTTTCTGTTTGACATGTGGGATTTGTTRAAGGGTTGAAAAAAGCTTTAGAATAATTAATTTATCTCCTGGATTTTTTAAATAGGAAACTGTTCATTTAATGAATGCAGCACTAACAGGTTACTTTACAAAAATACCTTATAGATTAATTAAAACGGACACTCCTGTAATGAGGTGATGTGCCGTTACTGGGTTTTGTCCACTCGAGGGCAGCAGAAACCAGTTGTAAAGACATTTGTTTTGTAAAGACAAAGATTTGTTGTAAAGACAACAAATACTGTACATTTCCTGTTTATGTCACAATGTGCCTGATGAGCTACACTGCACATTTAGAAATGGTTTTTAACTCACCCTTTTTGGTGTGAGATCTATTTTATTGAGGCAGTTAAACAATTAATGTGAGTAGGGCTGGGTGGTATGACCTCAAATTCATATCACGTATAAATTAAATATTTTCACTGTAACTGCATATATCGCAGTAGAAAATTATCATAAAAAGCAAAGATTATGTAATTTTTAGAGCATTTATTTTGCAGAAAACTGTAATCATAATCAAAGCCAGCATTTTGGCTATACTGCAAATGAACATAACAGAAGTACAAAAGAATGTTTTATATATTTTGCAAAACTGTTTCAACAACAAAAACATTTCTCAAATTTTCAACAGTATCAAAATAAAGTGGATGTTATAAACAGTACTTCAAGTAAAATTAGTCATTTAGACATAAAAAAATCTAGGATGGCATAAGTTGCCTAAAATGTTATAGTGTGACAGGACCTTAAGGGACCTAAGCTGCACATAGTTCTGTCATAAAACAATTTCAGATAACTAGAATGTAAGTGTGGTGAAACCAAATAAATGTAATATCTGCCTGCCATACATGAGCTYCTGCCTGCTGAACTGACCCACTGCTCTGCTGTGCTGTCAGCCTCAGACTGTTACATTAACAAGATGGATTTATGAGTGAATGAACATCAACGTCTTTGTCATCTCTGGGTAACAATACATTAAAAAAAAATTTTTTTCTCCGACAACTTGAGTGTGAAAAAACTACGGTTGTTAAAGTTTCACTCTGTGCGACATGCAGCAGGAGGGAGGGAGGAAATGATCCCGCCACACAATGCAACTTTTCTGCAGCGGGAGGGTGAATTTTTAAGGATTTATTCTCTCTATACGTGTTTTAAAGCGTTATATTTCTTCAGTATATTTCTGACTCCTCCTGCTCAGTTGTCTCTACACTTGCAGCCATGTTGACACAGGTGTGATGAYGTAATGACGACAGGACGGTAGAGGGTAAATTTCTACYGTGGGCCAACTTCATTTTGTTTCTACCGTCTATCGCTTATACCAGGCAGCCCTAAACGTGAGTGACATGTTGCTCAGACTRTAACGGTGCTTCTCTCTGTCTGTTTTCAGACCTCAGTGATCGTCGACTGGAGGTGGTTGGCCTTGAAGGAGCCATGGAAATGGGACAGATTTACACCGGCCTCAAAAGTGCTGTGCGACTTGCAAAAACTTCACAGATCACTATTAGGTATAGAGAGAAAGTCTCAGTCCTGCTAATGATTTGTACTTRGTACAATTAGTGGCTGATCTTTTCATTTCGATACAACTTTGCCTTTTGGTATTTTAATCACTTGTTTGCTGCCTGATGCATTTTGCTGACTTCTCTGTGCTGTGCACCCAGGACAAAGAAAGCATTACCGATGCAGATAGATGGAGAGCCGTGGATGCAGCCCCCCTGCACGGTAATTAGCACACAAGCACAGAAACTAGCTGATTGTACAGYACCTTGTGAATTTATTTCTGTGAAAAGTGCTATAWAAATAAAACTTACTTTATTTGATCTTTTTTTATTGGAGCAGTAAATCTGGTGAAATGTCTGACTGGATAAWGCTGTGACTCACCGGACTGTTTGCATTTCTTATTTTCTTTCCAGATTCACATCACACACAAGAACCAAGCCTGTATGTTGATGGCTCCACAATCCAAATCCTCGTGCTTCTTCAAATAAACCCCAYCGACTAAATGCATGTGTTACTGTATGCAGACGACTAACACTTCTAAAACATAGGATCAGTGGGCCACATGCAAGAACATGTTCGTATTCTTATTCTAAATTTCTCTTACTTTTGTTCTCTTACTCCGCCCCTCCCGACCATCACAAGTGTCAGATGTAGTTCTGAAAAGACGCATTTTAAAATGTCTCTAAACTTCAATTAATGCCTAATTTACGTTGGTTTTTAGTTTGAGATCTCCATATTAATATTGTAGTGCTATACAACAGCGTTAAAAGCCAATTTAATTTAATCTAACCAATTTATGTTGTTAGTTACATTTAAAATCTAATTCCATTTTCAACAGAATAACCTGTTGTCAACATAATTATGGAGTGTGACTTATTTTCAACTCAAAATATCTTCAAACTAATGAAATATAAAGTTATTAGTGAGAAAAATCCATCTGGATAAGAGCAGACTGACTGCTCGTAAAATATCCAACAGGTCTGGGGTCTCATTTATAAAGGATTGCGTGGAAACCATACTAAAAGTGAACGTACGGCCAAAAGGC